TTAAAAGTTATTTTGAAGTGATGTGTTTTCAATTTGACCATTATAACTGGAGTGGTGTGATCTGTCACTGTAGGTGGAGGTTTAATGTAAAGCTAAAAACAAAAAAAAAAGGAAAAAAAGCATTCCTGTGGTGTGGTTTAGGTTTCGTAGACATCTAACAGTTGGAGGTAGGATGGAAGGATCCGTAGGTTAGAGGTGGTTTTTGCAGACAGCACTGGAAAAGTCTAATCATGTGTCAGTATTTTACACATTTCAGTACGACTGAGGGCGGATATATCTGTGTTTGACACATTAACCTTCAAGTAGCAGACACTTTTGCCAACATGCATCTGTGGGGTTTTGAGTTGAAGTTTTCAGCTGCTAACTTGACTATTGACAGGTTTGGGAAGCATTCAGAGCAACCTGGAAGAGAACAATAAATGTTTTAATTTATGTCATGTTGCTGAGTTTCGTTCTGAGGGTCGCCCTGTGTGTCACTGCCTCGACAGTCGGTCGGTGGGATGTTTTTTTCTTCTCGTAATCTGCTCGTGTGTTATGTTGTGAAATGCATAGTTCTCCAATGGTGTAGCAAGTGGCAGGTGTGGTTATTTCATGGAGTCAATCGAATCCATCATGTCAGCCGAGACTTAACGCTCTTAGATAAATGTGGTCGTGTAGGTTAGATGTCGTGCACACAGTCGATTTGATGAAGTGATCCAGTTCTGTCCCAGTGACAATAAACCAGAGGAGGGTGTGACACAGTGCTCGGCGGCGCGGCGTTACATCCGTGATATTTTTGCATTCAGCTCACACCGTAACCCTGTTTGGACGCCATGGGCTCAACGCTGTTAGAAACTTTTGCTAAAGGTTTTCCTCTCATGGGGCAAAGAAGTACTTAAGGATTTATTTTGCAATGACTGCAACAAAATACGATCGTATTCAAACGAATATAACGGTGTGGCTTTTTGTCATGATTTAAATGAGACTGAACTGAAATTATGCCATTTTGTCATTGTGCTAAAATGAATATAAATATTATATATTAAAATATATTTGCTAACCAGTATTGTGTTGTCTGGACTTCTTGAGGATGTGTTAAAAAAAAAGATAATAGAAGAAAAGCTGTTTATCTGGAGGAGTAAGTGGATGTACTCAAGTATTGTGCTCGAGTACAAGTTTGTTGTACTCTATTGTTCCATCCATCCATCATCATACACCCCTTAGTCCTCACTAGGGTCATGGGGGGCTGGAGTCT